TATCTATCCTGCTGCCAGTTTTCACAGTTGCTTTGACCAATGCTGCATCGCTTGACCGTGTTTCATTTTTTGAGGGAAATGCTAGGTCAGTGCTTCACCCCAGCGTATTCGCGATGCCTTTGCAAATATAGACAGGTCCAGTGTGATTTTCTGCGGGGAGGAGTAGATTTAGGCGATTTTTCTTCTTTCCCCCCTCCTCCGCCGTCTCCTCTTCCCTCCTCCGTTCTACCGCGGTCATCACTTCTAGCGGCAACAACCGGACAGAGAGAGGCGAGGAGAAAAGGGAAAGTGAGGCTGCTGAGGGGCGAGGACGAGTGATGTCGAAGACAACTTTTCTGCATCTTTAGCACTCCAATCTGTACCGCTGGGAGAGAGGGCGGGGTGGAGAGGTGGAGGAGAAAGACCCTTCCCCCCTGAATCCGCCAGTGTTTAGAAAGATTTAGCTGTTTCGGGATATTTATGTTGAACTTCACCAACCCTTTCTAGGGATTACCACTTCTAAACCACGATGAAGGGTTGTCTTAATGACCAGAAGTTGTGTGGGATTATGCAGAAAAAGCATCAAATTGGCGTGAAATTACTTCTGTTTCAGTGTCAAGTCTTACGTGAAAGAATCTGCAGCAATATACTTTTTTTTTTTTGCTTAAAACTACCTGTTCTGGCGTTTGGCTTAGCGTAGGAGCATGTTTGTAGCAGTGGCCGAATCTGCACCTCGATGAACAAATTTTTTTGATAGACTTTGGACTTGTGGTACTTTAATGTGTAGGTCCTTTTTTTTGTTTTTTGAATTCGCAATTTTCACACATATGCATCAAGCATATTTCGTGGTTTCCCAATAGATATGGGGCTGTTTAGATGGCCCATTTCACAGCTTAGACCGAAGGAACATGAACTGGTGGCCTGTTTTTTTCCACCAAAAGTTGTGGGCTAATAAAGATTAGACAGATATGAACAAGAATAAAGCAGTAAAGGATGCTGAAGGAAGGGGTTGAAGAAAAAGCGTGAGCTTACGAAGCCACTCTGACTTGATATTTCTAGCATTATGTTGATAATATCGCGAAATTGTTGATTTCAGAGGAGCTTCGATGATAGTGAAAATGATGGTGATCCAGCAAAATCGTACAGTTGCGATGTTATTATACAACATGGCGTTAAAGAAATGCGCGGTCTCGAGAATACTTTCCTCGAAGAGCTAACAAAAAGTCTTTCGCTGAAAGTTGATCTGAAAACATATGAAGATGTTGTCGTGAAAACTGATGATGGAAGGGTAAGATTGCTGTGTAAAATTTTGAAATTATTGCTCATTTACATGCTAATTTGCCAGGCGTCAATGAACGAAAAGGAAAGACTTTTGATTGTTGCTATGAATGAGTACTCGTGAAAAAATTCAGTGAAAATGAAAAAATTTACGAAGTTTTGACGGTGAGAGTAGTGGTGAGAATAGAGTTGCCTGTGGGAGGTTTAAATGGCACTTCCAGTGTTTTCATTAATCATCAAAATTCGAGTACGTTCCTTTCCACGGTGGGCCAACAGCGCCAAACAAACTGCATATTTTAACGCAAAAACGATTTCAGGCCCCCGTCCTCTTCCAGTCTTCTAGCCAGAGATATTCATTGTTTATAAAATTTCTACAACACTAAGTTAGTTATTACGCAGCAGTGTTCTTTATGCGTATTTATAACAGTAAAAGTGTTAATATGGATGATATGGCAATAATGATAATGATGATAACAAGCGATAATAACGGTGATAGTAGTGGTAGTGCTAATAACAATAATCCCAGTTATAATAATCATAATAATTCTGAAAAAGTAAGTAGGATGGAGTTTTTTTTTGCAGCAGCACAAATTGAACAGGCTGGGGCGAATCAAGTTGGTTTCACCGTTGCTAGTTTCGGTCGATTTTGCTGACAATCCGTCAGCTATAAAGCCGGCACGGCTTGCTTTGGAACAGTCGAATCTGAATGTAAGTGTGCGTCAGGAAGGTGTCGTGATTTATATCTCAATACCGCGGATAACACGAGAGCGGCGAGAAAATTTGGCCAATGTAGCATCGAAGAAGTTGCTCAACGAATATAAAAAAGCTTTAAACGAGGTAAATTGAAAGATTTGAGAAATTTTCAAATTCAAGAAATGTTGGGTTTACTGGCCTTGACTTGGCAATAATTCGGCGTAGTAGCAGGTTCCACGTCTCTCGTGCGTCGTCTAAGTCGCCTCCACAATTCCGCAACCCCACAGTGGATCGGCACTACTTTACAATACTGGCACAGTGGCCTTATATAGATCGCATTCGCGCCACTACACGATCTACCTAGGGGGAGTCACGATGCAAAAGAAATGTATTTTTAGGCAATTAGGCAGTGCAATATGACTGGTGTGCTGAAAAGATCACGATCTCCCTTACCCTGGATTAGGGTACTAGTCGGGGATTTGAAGCAAGAGACTGAAGACAGCAATAAAATAATTGGCCAACGCACGGGCTGCCCGTGCGAAGATGCGTTTCTTTGCATAGCTTCCCGCAGATTTTTGTCGCTAACGGCGCTGGTATTTCTGCCAAATGCTCCAAGTTAAAAGAATTTCAGACTGGCCGCTAGGACCGTCAGGAAACATCCCTTTAAAATCCCAGTTTTTTAGCTCCTCTTCCCCGAGTTAGTAACTTACCCGGAAGAAACTTTCAAAGGCCCGTGCGTGGGTACCACGCTTAGCGGCGTGCCGAGTTTGAACTCGTTAGTACCTACTTGGACGGGGAACATTGCCCTAAAATTTCAGCTTTCTAGATTCTCAGATCTCCGAATTATGAACCTACCCGAAAAAAATTTTGGCGCACCCGAACGCGAGTACCACGCTTACCTGGGGGATGGTTTTGAGTTCATTAATACCCAGTTGGACGGGGAACATTCTCTTAAGATTTCAGCATTCTATCTTCTCAGATCCTCGAGTTATGAACCGAACGGAAAAAAAATTTCGGCGGGCCCGAACGCGAGTACCACGTTTACCCTTGGGATGGTTTTGAGTTCATTA